GGGCCGTCTTGGAGCGTCGGAAGCCCGAACAGGCGAGCGTGCCAACATCCATCAAAAACCTAAGCAACATTGATATGTGGGCCTCCTGGGCCCCTCAGGAGCCGCTAGGGCCGTCTTGAGACCATCTTGGGCTCCTTGGAGTACTCTTGGGCCGTTTGGAGGCCTCTTGTACCGTCCTGGGGGCCGTTGATGAAGGATTGTGGCTTCGAACACGTACTTTATGAGGGTGTATGACTTCGGGGACGCGAAGAACGCGTAATGTTCGAGGGATCGTGGTTTCGGGGGCGCCAGAGAGAGTATTGCCTCGGAGACGCGAACACTGCATAATTCTAGACGCTTCGCGGAACCCCACCAATTTGAGGCTCGCTTCCTGGTTGTCTCTCCTGCTCGTTCTTGTTCTTTGCTTTTTGCCTTCCTCTTCCGTTGCGCTAATTTAGGTCGTTGCTCGTGTGCTATATCCTGGACGCCGCCCAACTTTTCCTCGCCGCGGTCGCGATCAAAAAGTAACCCCACCAATCCATCCAGAGACGATGCCCAGGCGAGTTGCCCTGATCAGCGAAGTGAGGGAGCAGACAGAGGAACAAAGGTCTTGGGAAGCCGTCGGATACCAAGAGGAGAGAGCATGGTGGAGGAATAGGAAGACGAGGACGAGGAGGAAGAGGAGGAAAAGGAGGAGGAGGCGGAGGAGGAGGACAGGGAGGAGCAGGAGACAGATGAGGCGGATGAGGAGGAGGTGGAGGAGGAGAAAGAGGACTACGCGAAGACGAAGAGGGGAGGGGAGCAGGGGAGCATACAGAGGAACACGGGGATGGAGAAACCGTACGATTGAGTTGCGGATAGGAGGATCGGGCGGCGGGGACGTCGGTAGTTTGCGAGGCTCCGAAGAAGCCCGCCGCAGTCGTTTCATTTTCATAAATTATACAACGAGCTCGCCGCAGGCGCCGATTGCTTCGTTAAAACACTTTGTGTGGGCCGCGGAGTGGGTCGCTGGTGGGTCGCGGGTGGGTCGCAGGTGGGTCGCGGGTGGGTTGCGGGTGGGTCGCGGGTCGGGTCGCGGGTGGGTCGCGGGTGGGTCGCGGGTGGCCGCAGGTGGCTCGTGGTTGGGTCGCGGGCGGGTCGCGGGGTGGGTCGCGGGGTGGGTTGCGGGTGTGTCGCGGGCCGGGTCGCGGGTGGATCGCGGTTGTGCCGCGGGTGGCTCGTGGGCCGGGTCGCGGGGAGAGCGACAACAAACAACACGCAACAAACAACAAACCACCCACCTATTCATTCGATCAGACAAACCCCTATTTACATCAACAAAACAACAACAACAACAACAACAAACAAAAAAAAACAACAACAACAAACAACACGCAACAAACAACACACACTACACAACAAACAACAACAACAACAACAACAACAACAACAACAACAACAACAACAACAACACCATCAACAACAACACCATCAACAACAACAACTCCAACAACAATAGCAACAACAACACAACAATAACAATAACAGCAACAGCACTAACAATATCAACAACAACAGCAACAACAGCAGCAACAACAACAGCAACACCAACACTTCCAACAGCAACAACTAAACCATCAACAACAACCATCAACAACACCAGCAACTACAATCGTTTTAAGCTTGCTCACTCTTAGCTGCTCGCGTGCCACGAAACACGTAGATCACAAACCCGTGGTCCTCACCCTATTCGTCTTCGATCGTGCTCCATCTGGGGGTCCGGGGGTATATTTTTGTTTGCCTGCTGCGCGTCACTGGCACAGCCCCTGATACGGTAGAAGAGAGGACGGATGGAAGGGGGAGGGAGAAGGATGGAACACGAGATTCGCAGGAGGGGGCCAGGAACAGAACGCACGTGGCAGAACCAGACGGGCTGACCAGACCCGAACGGGTGGGTCGGGAAGGCGGGCCCACGCAGTCATGTCGAGAAGGCGTGTTGTTGAAGCGTGAGTGCTGCGTGGGTCGCGATGAAGTCTTCGGGCTATAGCGCGTTTCCTAAGTAAATCGTGAGAAAGCCAATGTGAGAGCGTGATTCCTGAGTGTCGATGGCGCGGCGTCTGAATGAATTGCGCGGACGTCCCACGCCTGAGCGCGATTCCTGCATAAATTTTGGGGATGTCCCGCGCGAGAGCGCGATTTTGGAATACATTGTGAGGAGGTCTCAGGCGGGTGCCGTTGTTGTTCTAACTCGGGGGCCAGGGGGCCACTTTGGTGTCCCCTAGCTTTCCCTGATGAAACAACGGGGTGCGAGCCCTAGGAACGGCATTCCAATTGAGAAATACAATGTACCCCGAAAGGGGGGATCCACAATAAGTCTTTTTTAGACATGAGATTTCAGCAACAACAACACCAACAACAACAATCCGCCTGCAGAACCTCACTTCAGCCACGCGCCCAGGGACAATGAATGACCGTTCGGCCCCCTCAGACGAGAGATTCTGGTCTCGGGAGCGCGATTGCAGCTTAATTATGGCCTCGGGGGCGCGAGCGTTGCATCATCGACGAGGGATTATGGCCTCGGGGGCGCGAGCGCGGCGTAATTCGCAAGGGAGTATGGCTCTGTGGGCGCGACTCACCGGTTTTTCACGTCTTCCAGGGCCCCCAGGAATTGTGATGACCCCCCAGATGAAGGTAACCAGGGTCCTTTTCGGCTCCCCTCCCTCGCGCGGACTTCAACAGTTCATTATAGGAAGCAGAGCGCATAATTGTGACATCGGAGGCTGGACACTGGAGCTGAAGCAGAGAGCAGCAAGCCTTGGTCGCGGAGCCGGATGGCCCCGCAAGGGCGGTGGCGGATTTTGGCGTTGATGATGGTGGTGTGTTCATGGTGACGATGGCGATGATGATGATGTTGAAGTTTATGTTGTTGTTGTTGTTGCTGCTGCTGCTGCTGCTGCTGCTGTTGTTGTTGTTGTTGATGATTATGATGATGATGATGATGATGGTGGTGGTGGTGTCGGTGGTGGTGTTGTGGCGATGGTGATAGTGATGATTATGATGATGATGATGATGATGATGATGATGATGATGATGATGATGAGCATGAGGATGAGGATGAGGATGAGGATGAGGATGAGGATGAGGATGAGGATGTGACGATGGTCATGATGCTGATCATGATATTGGTGGTGATGAGGACGACGACGGCAAGGGGGACTATTATGTTGATGATGATGATGATGATGATGATGATGATGATGATGATGATGCTGATGATGATGATGATGAAGATTATGAGAATGCTGATTATGTACATGATGATGATAATGATGATGTTCGTGGTGAAGATGACAACGAATCTGATGATACTGATGATGCTGATGATGATGCTGATGATGATGGTGTAGATGCTGATGATGATGAGGAGGAGGAGAGAGAAAGGAAGTGGAAGGGTTGAATGATGAGGAGGCGGATGTGAGTGATGATGATGTTAGTGATGATGATGTTGATGATGATGATGATGATGATGATGATGATGATGCTGATGATGATGATGATGATGCTGCTGATGCTGATGATGATGCTGCTGCTGCTGATGCTGCTGCTGCTGCTGATGATGATGATGATGATGATGATGATGATGGTGACGGTGGTGGTGGTGGTGATGATGATGATGATGAGGAGGAGGAGGAGGTGGAGGAGGAGGAGGAGGACAGGGGATGAGGCTGAAAAGCAACAGGAGGATGAGGATTTGTTTTGCCATTGCACGCCTCTTCACGCCCTCGGAAGCCAACCTGCCTCGACGCGCCTGCTCGCGCGCCTCATGTACAAGACTAGGTACACGAAGTGGACGCCGCTGCCGAGCATTAGCAGTCATGGTGAGGCCTGTCCTCCTGAATGCGACTACGCGTCCACAGCTGGGCACCCTTGAGGAGGGAGAGAAGAAGCCGCCTGTCCGTAGGCACATCAGCAATGGTTGTGGGGCTCTGGATTGTCCTGGGAACCCCATTTCGGCGTCACACCAACATGCTGGTACTATGTGTGCGTCGCCCCCCCCCCCCCCGGGGGCGACGCGCGCGCCGAGAAATCGCAGTGTATGCTTCGCGGCGGGCGCTTCCTGGCCGTACCGCGCGAGAAACAACATACACCACAAGATGGTCGTACTACGTGTTTCTGTCGCGCTCACGCCTCCGAGGAGGACACATTGCACTACTACCCTCGTCAACATTAACCTCAAAAATGGCGAACACGCCACTGCGATGTCGGCACGCACGCTCTTCAATGTCGACAGACGCCCCTCCAATGTCGGGGCCAGGGCAAAGGTGGTCGGACCGGGAACGACTCGGAATTTTCGAGAACATGAGACACAACCTCACACCAATGCAACTACCAAGCAACGACCAAGAACACCGAAAGACACCCCCCGATAGACCATCGAGCAAACCTGAGAATCAGCACCCCCCACCCCCTAAATACAAGACCAAAATCAACAAAAACCTTTTTAATACCCTCATTTCTCCGGACCTCAATACAACCCAAGGAGACGAAACACCGAAGACTTACACAAAAAAAACACACCTACCCAAAGAATACCAAGGAGACATTAGAGGGGCGGCGCATACCAGTACCTCGCAGTCATCGCTACTCTGTCCAGCATCTCCCCACAAACAGTTCAGCCACGTAAGACATTTTTGAGGTTCATTTTGACGAGGGTTGCAGCAGAGCCCCCCTTCTGCGCAGGAGTGCGCGCCAGCGTCCCCGGAGCCTCCGGACCCTCACGGGCGGGTCGGGTCGGGCGGGCGGGACAGCAAGGTGTGGGGCGCGCTCGACCGAGCACGCGTGGCAAGGTTTTTGACCTTGCCACGTAAGACATTTTTGAGGTTCATTTTGTCCGGGTGAGCCCCCCCCATCTCCGTGTTGCAATTGCGCAGCCAGCTGGCACCCCACGCTGCTGCCGCTTGCACTGGGCCTCCGTGCATCTGGGCGGGCGCCTCCCGCGCTCCTCGCCCCCCCCGTCAAACGCCCGAGCCGCCGAGCCGCAGAGGCCGACCTCGGTGCGGAGCTGTCGGCCGAGAGCGTGCTCCGGATGCTGTCGGTCCAGATCGAGCAGGCGCGCGCGCGCGCGGACGCTGCCGTCCTGCCGGGCGCTGTCAGAAGGCACTTCTGACAACGCCGCCGGGGTCGCGTCCGGTGCGGTTCGGTTCGGGTTCGGTTCGCGGGGCCGGTCCGGTTCGGCCCGTTCGGTTGGCTGGGCCGACTCGGTTCGGTTCGGCCGGTTCGGGTCGATGGCCCGTCCGGTTCGGCCGGTTCGGTTCAAGGATCGGTTCTCGGTCTTCGGTCCAGTTCGCGGCCATCGTGGAAGCGCATTTGGCCCAAGGTGCACGCCCCCAGGAGTTCCAGTGGGCCCCCACGGCCTCCAGAGCACCCCTCACGAGGGGAAGCCCAGGAACTCCACCATATGGAGCGAACAGCTGGGGGCACGATGGGCGCTACGGCCCGTGGCGGGGGGGTCGGGCAGGGCGAGGACGAGGGCAGATCCTTTCCAGAGCACGTGGGGGGGCCGAGGAGCAGGGACATGAGCAGGAGGAGGAGCAGGGAGGAGGCAGGATGGATGCCATGGACCATGGAGGAGGAGGATGGAAGGAGGAGGGAGGGAGCGATGGGGGAGATGGAGGAGGGAGGAGGGATGAGTCGGACGGGGCAAGGACGAGGCTAAGTCCGTGCCAGAGCGTTCCAGAACGCTCTGAGAAGACCGCGGCGCCCAAGACACATCCTCCAGAGCGGCCAGATCTCAGAGATCCTCGTTTTTTCCTCATCCAATGTTATCTTCGTCTTGGCTTCGTCTCAGGGAGGGCGCACTGGGCCCCGGGCAGGGCCGTGTTTTTTGCGGGCTCGGTTTTGGAGTACGTTTTGTAGCCTGTTCTGGCGCCACTTTTGTCCCAGTTCTGCCGCTGTTTCGTTCTGGTTCAGTTCCGATCCCCATCCTGGAGCAGTTGTTTGTTTCCGCTTTGGGGAGCAGTTGCTCTACCGATCCCGTGCTCCAGAGACAGCCTCTGTAGGGGGCCACATGCGAACCCTACACCTCCCCCTCAGAAATCGTGGGGGGTAGGGGTAGGGTTCGCATGTGGCCCCCTACTTTGGGTACCCTGCCGTTTCTGGGGCCCACCGGGGGGGCCCTCCCGGCCTCCAGCAGTGGCCCTCGTCAGGGGCAACGTCAGAGGGGGGGACAGGCTCTGGGATAGCCCACTTATCTCAGGAGGGGAAAAAACACACAGACACAAGTAATCGTCGACTCCCAGGAAAATATTGGAAAACATGGGAAGTGGGGGGGAAGACAAAACCCAGAAGATATGTGAAAATATAGGGAATCTTTTTATTTGTGTGTATTTATTTGTGTGTCCCAGGGCCCCTCCATTATCGCCGAGCTGGGGCCCGACAGCCCCGCACAGCCTAGGACCCTGCGGCTTCGCCAGCGGGGGCCCATCGCCGAGCTATCGGCGAGGCACTGCCCGGTCCAGGCCGATGTCTCCCCCCTCTGGGCCGGCCTGCCCCTGAACGTTGCCCCTCGAGGGGCACAACACAAAGGGGGAACCTCCATTTTTCAACACAACCAAATCAAACTAGATGGTGTCTCTGATTTTTCTATTATATAGTGCCGACGTCGGGGGGGGGGCATCCCTGAAGCCGCACAGAGAGAAGCGCCGCCAGGGTCGAGGGAACCGGCCAGATGGGGCTCGCGCTTCGGTCCGCCGCTTCGGCACATACCTGCCCCCTGGACTGCGCAGGGTGTGAGGACGAGGAAGACTGAGCCGAGGGCCCTCAGACCTCAGCGTCGTGAAAAGGTCACCCTGGGCTTCCTTGGCCCCCCGCTTCTGGGGCCCTCGCGGCTCGAGCTGGCTCGAACAGTGCCGCAGGAAGGTGGGGTCGGGTGATTTTTTTTGTCGTGATCTGTCTCACGATTTCGGACCCTTTTGAGGGATGGGTGAGGTGTGCTTGTTCTCCGATCCCTCACGTAATCTCATGCTCTCCACCGCTGGCCTGGCTCAAGGCTCAGGTGTGACTGATGTGTGCTGATGCTGCCCCGTCGCCCCGGGAGGGAAACGAGCATCGGTCGCACCCCGTGCGGAATTCTCACGGGTGCCGCGACCATGTGTATTACTTTGGCATCGCCCGGACACGTGCATTTTTCTTGGCGGGGATCATTGTTCTCGGCGGGGATCATTGAGGAGCATCCTGGATCAGCCAGCGAAAAGATACGCACGAAACCGAAAAACATGCACTGGGAATGGACTTCCAAGCGATGGCAAGCTACCACGGGATCTTATTGTAAAGGGCCAGGGGAGCAGTCTGTGGGGGCGATCCCGCCAGGTCTCGCTGTCACGGCGTGCGCGCCCCCGTTTTACAGCGCTTGGTTTGAAAAAGTGTTGCTTAATCGTTTGAGCAACAGGTCTCATGATCTTGCTCGTTGTCATGGAGAACAGACGTGTTGTGGAAAGCATCGGGCGCGGTATGGATCCGCAACGTCTTTTGCTGTTCACGCAAATGTCGAGCCCGCTTTGAATTTTGCCTCCCTGGTTTGCATTACGGTCGTCGAGAAGGATCCACGCTGCAGGGGCGGGGCGGAGTCCACCGAATGCGGCCTTCCGGGCGGTGGAGATTTCATTGGCGGCGTGACGCTTGCCAGGGAGGGGCTCCCTGGCAGCCGCGCAGGCAACGTCGTGTTTCATTCACAATTTTCCGAATGATAGCGTTGCAAGTGAATGTTGCGGTCCTTATCACATCCTGCGGACCAATGGTGGGTCAGGCTCCTTGACCCAACCTCCCTAAACATATGAAAAGGAGGTGGGCAGTGATTCCTGGGAAAAGCCCTCGCTGCGATCTCCAAGAGTTCGCGGTAGCAGGGAACAGTTCGTGGGGGTTTGTGCGTGCATCCGCGACATTGTCGAATCTTGCTTTGGCCTAGATGGTATATTGGATTCTGCACGTAACGTCAATCATTACCGGTGCAGGGTACGCCATTTCCATCGCCATGTTTTTTTCTTCGCCATCACTATCGTCGTGCGGACGATTAGAACGCACGATGCGTGGCCATTTTTGTGCAAAAACGGTGTGGACAGTTGCCTGCTAGCTTTGTTCAATCGTCGAGAACTGGCTGCGCGTTGCAGAAGAATTGGGATCCCTTTCACGCGAGTGGTTGTTTACGGAAGCGCAGTGCGCCATGTTTGCCATATTTGCTTTATTTGTGGTGTGTAGTGGGCACCGACAGCACGAGCTGCTGAAGTCGGTGGATGACCCATGACAACGTCCGCGAGCTTCGTGTAGACCGAGTGCGTTTACGAGATGCCGTGCTGCGCAGTAGGAAATTGTTGCGTACTTCTGAGTCGTTGGGGCGCTTGATCATCAGGCCGTTCGTGCCCTCTTCTTCATTAATCGGTCGTTGGTTCAATTGACCATGTGGAGCGGTCATACATTCGGCGTTGGCAGCATCGGCATTTGCGCTTCACCGGTGTTGTCTCCGTCGCCGTCGCCGTCGACTTTGGCACGGGTAAATTTTCGGGACGTGTCGTCGAAAAGCATTGGACTTGGTTGTTAGCCGCGGTGCCACCCCCCATGACCGTCTGCGCTGCTGCCAGCCATCCGCTGCAGGTCTGGCGCTGCCCACTCGGATCCCGCTTCACTGCCCGACTCTGTACGTCCTCCTCCTCCTCCTCCTCCTCCTCCTCCTCCTCCTCCCCCTCCTCCTCCCCCTCCTCCTCCCCCTCCTCCTCCGCTGCCCTGCTCTCCTCGGGAGGGAGCTGCGGCCACCCAGGCTCAAGCGAGCGGCACGTCGAGCCCGGTGGCCTGCGCTCCCCCCCTACGGCAGGTTCGTGTCGTGTCCACCGACGGCGACCCCGCCAGCGGCGTTCAACTCCGAACGCCGCGGGCGACCCAGAATCGTTCGGTGTGGAACGATTTTTGGACGTTCCGGAAACGGCCGATCGTTCAGGGTTGAACGATCCCCGCTGTGTCAGAAACCAACGCCGAAGTCGGCACGACACGAACTTGATGTATCACTCTCGATATGTGAACCTCTGAGGCGCGGCGGGCGTCAGGGGCGGGAAGCAGTCAGCAGGGGACCAGTCAACGAAACAAAAAGAAAAACAGACGAGCCAACCAATAAATCTGCTACGGCCCACGGCCATCTTTCGCCCTTGATAGCGGCCGCCGCTGCGGCGGCCGATCCAGTCTGGCGCCGATGCTACTCCCCTCCTGTTCCTCGCCGCCGCCGTCGTCGGTCTCTCCCCCCCCGCCCGCCCGGGCGCGATGACCCGCGCGACGCCAGGACCGAGCCCTCAACCGCGCGGCCTGGACGCCGACTGGTCGTGGACGATTTGGGGAGGGCTAAGGAGCGTCGGTGACGCGCACGCGTCGTGTTTCAAGCTGTGCGTGCTACGCAATCGCTTTTTGTGCTAAAGTCTGGCACTTCTTTCAGCATCTTCGAGCCTATCCCCTGGCATCGCTCGGACGTGTGCTTTTTTCCTTCGGCGAGGACCATCCAGGAGCATCCTTGATCATTCGGCGAAACAACCACGCACGACACCAAAAAAAACACAGGGAATGGACGTCCGAGCGATGGCCACAACAGCGGAGCGCCTGATGGAGTCGCGCGGTCAGCGTGACACTGATGTTTTTTTTTCGGGGGTTGTTAAAGGTGCCCCTGGGCCAGTATGCCCCCAGCTTTCCGCCAAGTATTTTAGAGCCTCTGGGGCGCCCCTGGCCTCGTGAGGGGTCCTCCAGAGACCGTCGGGGCCTCTTTGGAAATCCCGGGGGCACCTTGAGCAAGGGGCACTTCTAGCAGCATCCGCCTTCTGTACGCCGCACGATGGCACCCACGCGCGATTCGATAGGCCGCGGGGGCAGGCTTCGAAATCCGTTGAACACGCGGCGAAGTCCGAGCCCCACCCCCGCTTCCCGTCGATTCAGGAGAGTCGATGGAGAGTCGATGGCGGCCCTGAAGAAGGAACCCTTTTCGTTGGGGAGGGGCTCCGCGTTCCTTAAATGTTTCACAGCTTGCCTCAGGCTGTCCTTAGGTTTTCGACAGGAAATCGAAGGTTAACTTATGGAAAAAGGGGCCTCGTTCCTTGTTGAATCGCTTCGCTCATTCCGCCGGCCCGTATTGTGCCATCGCGGGTTCTTGGGGGGTCTTGGGAGCCCTTGGAAGCTTCGTGGGAGCTCCTTGGGAACTTTGGGAGGCCTCGTGGATGGCTCTGGGTGGGCCCTCTTGGTGGTCTCTTGGGGGGTCTGCCTGGCCTCTTGGGGGCCTCCTGGGAGCTTCCTGGGGGTCTCTTGGGGGCCTCTTGGGGCTTTCTTGCGGCCTGTTGGGGGCCTCTTGGGGCTCTCTTGGGGGCTTCGTGGGGCTACTTGGGGGCTTGTAGGGGCATTTCGGGGGCGTGTTTGGGCGGGAGGCTCACAATTTCCGTTCAGGTTGCCCCTGTGGACCTCAATCATGGGGCCGTCTGGGGGCCTCTTGGACCGTCTTGAGGGTTTCTTGGGCCTTCTTGGAGCGCTCGTGGGCCGTCTTTGAGCGGTCTTGAGGGTCTCTCGGGCCGTCTTGGGGTGATCTTGGGGGCCTCTTGGACCGCCTTGAAAGGTGTGAAAGACGAAGAGGCGGATATGGGGCCTCGTTCCTTATTTAGGGTTCCTTAGGTCAACGCCCCGACTGTACCCCCGCTTCCCGCCGATTCAGGAGAGTCCATGGCGGGCGGGGGCAGAGTTCGGACGTCGCCACCCCCTGGCATCGCTCGGAGCATCCTTGATCATCTGGCGAAAAAACCACGCACGAAACCGACAAAAGCACAGGACATGGACGTCCGAGCGATGGCCAGACCCGATGAGTGCTGCCTTTGTCCTCCGCGCGGTTGCGCTCACCTACGACTTCGACGCCCCGCAGACGCTGCTGAACTGGGGCCTGTGCGCCCTGGCGCCGCCCGCCGCCCGGCTCCAGGCGGCCACCTGCGCCGAGCCGCTGCGGGCCTGGGGCGCCCAGATGGGCGTCATGCTGGCCATGGCGGCGGTGCAGGCGTGTCAGGAGGGGAAGAAGCACACAGACACAATTCATCGTCGATTCCCAGAGCATATGGGAAAATATGGGAAGTGGGGGGATGAGGCAGAAACCCAGAACATATCGGAAAACATGGGGAATCCTTTTATTTGTGTGTACTTATTTGTGTGTCTCAGGGCCCCTTCAGTGTGAGCCACACGCAGAGGGGGGAGACTCGGAGGAGGAAGAGGTATACCCACACGGGTCGTTCCGAAGCCACATCGAGCCACAAATATGCTCTTCTTTTTATATGAGGAGGGAGGAGGGTAGGAGGAGGAGGAGGAGGAGGAGGAGGAGGAGGAGGAGGAGGAGGAGGAGGATAGGAGGAGGAGGAGGAGGATAGGCGGAGGAGAGAGGAAGGAGGAGGCGGGGAGGGATGGAGGAGGAGAAGAGGAGATAGCGGGGAGGAGGAGTGAGGCAGGAGGAGGAGCGAGGAGGAGTGAGGAGGAGGGAGGAGGGAGGAGGAGGAGGAGGATAGGAGGAGGAGGAGGAGGAGGAGGAGTGAGGGGGTAGGAGAAGGAGGGAGAGAGATGGAGGAGGAGGAGGAGGAGGAGGAGGAGGAGGAGGAGGAGGAGGAGGAGGAGCTGCCCTCGCCCCGTTGGCGCTTCTCTGGGGGCCTCCCGGGGTGCCCGCGTGGCCACGGCTGGCTTCGCCTCGAGGGACTCGAGGTTCTGGTCAGAACGCACCCCCGGGAGAAGTCCGGGGAGGCGCGGTCTCAGCACCGTTTGGTTTCTCACCAGCCTCGAACCGATCCCTATCCCGAAGATTGACGCGCTAAAAGGAAATGACAATATCAGGGATACGCCCTCAGAAACTGAGGAAATCCCTGAGATAGCCATCGTGATGAGGCGATGCCCAACATAGGGATAGGGATCTGTTCCAGGCTGGTAAGTTTCCGCCAGATACGGTAGGCTCATGAGGCAGTGGCGCATCGGCGACGCTGGCGAAGGCGCTGAAGTTTGAACTTCGCACGACAGACCGGCGCGGCACGGTGACGCCATTGGACCCATCGGAATTCAATGTTGAACGACCGGTGTGGAGTCAAAAGTTTGTGCGCGTGCCGACGCCACACGAACTTACCGTAGGAGGAGAGGGGAGGTCTTCTAAGAGACACCGCTGCTTCTTCGAAGGCGCGGGCCCTACCTCTAGATGTAGGGCCAGTGCCTTCTAAGAAGCAGCCTCCTTTGAGAAGCCTTCCCCTCTCCCCCACCCTTGCGTCGGGCACGTCCCTCCACAGGAGGAATCTTTAAGGATAGTAAACAAAATGTCCAGTGACGATGCTTGGTAATCTTGTTCACAATGTTGGATTATGTGTTGACTATGTTTTAAGTATCTCCCAGAAGCCGCCAGTGGGAGGACATGCCCCACCTAACCCTATCTCTAGACGTAGGGCTGGCGCCTTCTAAGAAGCAGCCTCATTCTGAGAAGTCCTCCCCTTACCAACCTAAGATTGACACGCCGAAAGGCGATGACAATCTTAGGGACTCGCCCTCAAAAAATACGGGAATCCCTAAGATTGGCATCGTGATGAGGAGGTGCCCAGCATAGGGATAGGGATATGTTCCAGGCTGGTAATCCCCCTCCCTCTCGACCCCCCGGTGCGCCGCGCCGCCGGGAGGCGAGCGGCGGAAGCAGACGGGGTCGACTGCGGGGGCACTCGCGCGCGGAAGCTTCCCGCGTAAGTCAGGAGGAAAAGAAACACACAGACACATTAATCTTCGATTTCCTTGAAAATATGGGAAAATATGGGAAGTGGGCGGGAAGACAGAAACCCAGAAAATATAAGAAAATATAAGGGATTATCTTATTTGTGTGTATTTATTTGTGTGTCCTTGGGCCCCTTCAGTAAGGTCGCGCGTGAGCGCCCTCTCCTCCACGAGGTGGGCCACGCTGGCTCCCGGCAGGGCTCGAGCCGAACGGTGCCTTGGCGACCTCGTGGACCGTTTTCGCCTCGACTTCGCTCCGCAGCGGAGGCAGAACGAAGGACGGCGAGAGAACAAAAAAACACGAGAACGCAGAGCGCTGTTCAGCTCGAGCCCCGGCGCCCCGCGCACGCGGCGGCGAGAGGCTGCCCTGCCGTCTCGCGCCGCGCAGGTGGCGATCCTGGCCGCCATGCACGAGCAGGGCGTCAGCCTTGTCTGGACGTGCATGGGCCGCGGGCGGGCGGCCACCCCGAGGGCCAGGGGGGAGGGGTGCGCCGCGCCGGACGCGCGTGAGCGTGAGACTGTTTTTTTTCCAGCCATCCTGTGGTTCTGGGTCCTCGCTCTGGAGTAGACAGGGCTCCGCGTACCCTTCCTCCGCTCGAGCGTGAGATTGTGTTTTCCCCAGCCATCCTGTGGTGCTGGGTCCTCGCTCTGGAGTAGACAGGGCTCCGCGTACCCTTCCTCGCCTTCCTCTCCCCACTCCTCCCCCGTCTTGGAGGGGATCGATCAGAGCAGGAGCCGTACCGAACGAGCGTTGCCCCCCCCCCCCCCCCTTCCCATGAGGCCGAGTTGTGGCCAAAGTAGTGAAGTTCATGATTCTTAGGCTTACGCCACACCGCCGACCCCTTGTTTATGCCAATCTGGGGGTAGTAGAAGCTGCGAAGGGGTGAAAAGCATGTTTTGGAGCCACTTGGGGGCCGTTTCGGAGCCTCTGGGGTGCTTCTTGGGGGTTCCTTGGGGCGTCTGGGCGGCCTCGTGAGGGCCTCTGGGGGCCTCTTGGGGCACTCTTGGGGCCCCCTGGGGCTACTGGGGCAGAAGCTAGAGTTAGACATGTCTTGGTCTGCCCTCTTGGGCCCCTCTTGAGTCGACAGTGCCGTCTTGGATGCCCTCCTTGCCGTGCTGGGGACCTCTGGCAGTTTGGGGCGTCTTGGGCGGTCTGGAGGCCGTCTGGCCGCGGCATCTTGGGCATCTTGCGGGCTTAGATTTATGATATTTGTTATATTAAGACATGAGTGATATACATCCATTACCTTTGTTTTATATACTTCATTTATATTTTTACATCTTTTTTTTTTCATTCAAAATCCCTTAAAATATTACAAATTTCGTATATTTTTCTACAATGTAATTCTATTTTTTAATAATTTTTTTCTATATTAAATTCTAATGTTCACTTTCTTCTACTCTTAAATATAATAATTTATATTCATTAAAAGAATCTATCCCACTGTACTAAACCTCGACCTGAATATTGCGTTCTTTACTTTTATTTATCAATTATTCTACTTTTGAGTATTCGTCTTCATATTATTTTATGATTAATTGTTTACAATCTGTTTTCATTCTCTAAATTATTCTTTTATAATTACTATTAAAAAGTGTTTATTTGTTTTAATTTTATAATATTTCTATCGTAATTGTCATACGAAAAAAAAAATTTTGTTAATCCACCATACATATTTAAACAGATTTACCTTCCTATTTAAATAACGTCTATATGACTTTTTCAAATTATCCAACATTTATTTAATTGTTGGCTCTTTTAAGACTGTTCTTATTAATGCGTTCCTCTTTATAACTTTCATGGCCGGGGCCTCTTTGGCCGTCTTGGAGCGTCGGGAAGCCGAAAAGGCGGAAAAGCAAAACACATCGAACAACACTATGGAAAATCAACAATTTTAGACTCTTGGGGTCCTCTTGGGAGGCTTGTTTGGGACCTCGGGGGCCGTCTTGGAGACCTCTTGGCCCATCTTGGGGCCATCTTGGGCGTCTTGGAGCGGTCGTTTGGCGTCTCGGGGCCTTCGTGGGCCGTCTTGGAGGCCTCTTGGGGGCTTCTTGGCCCGTCTTGAGGCCCTCTTCGCCGAGGCCATCGTGGACGACCCAGGGGAAGGGGGTAGGAGGAGGGGTATACCCCTCCCCGAAGGGGAAGAAGGCGGGGTGGAAGAGTAAATGCTCTAAACCACTCACTCCCAGATGGCTGATGGGATTAGCACCACCCTCACCGGAGGCCAACTTGTAGCCAAAACCTTAGTAACATGCATGATGATGGCCTTCTCGCCGAGGCCTCTTGGGGCGTCTTTTGTGCCTCTGGGTGTCAGACCTGTCGGGGGCATCTTGGGGGTCTCTTTGGGTCTCCTGGGCACCTCTTGAGGCCGTCTCGGAGCACCCTTGGGAGCCTCGGAGGCCATCTTGGGGCCATCTTGGAGGAGATCGATCAAAGGAGGCTACCATGTGGCCAAAACCGTGGTGAAATCAATGATCGTTGCCTTCTCGCCGAGGCCGCTTTGGACTCTCTAACCCCTCGCGGCCAGGGAGGGTAGGGAAAAGGGGTACCCACCGAAGAGGAAGGGGGGGTGGAATATGAAACGCGCGAAACCATTCACGCCCCAGAGGGCTGGTGGCATTTCCGGAGGTCCGCGCGGATTTCTGGGATCGGCGCTGGAGTTGTCCATGCTGTTTTTCTCCCTCTGCGGATGGTGCGAGCAGACCCCCCAGATTCCGAGGATCGAGGACACCGAGGATGGAGATCTGTGAGACGTGGGGCTCTGGAGTCCCCTTCCAGAGGACCCCTGGGAGACCTCCGCACGCAGCACCTCGACGGCGGACTTTTCAGAGACTTCGGGGGCGACGTCCCGCATACCCCCCAGAGGAATAGCGAAAGCAGCCCAAGTGTCAGGGCCCCCAGACGGTGCTGTGACCACCCCGATCCATAACTGGCGTTTGCTGCATGCCCCTAGATGTTCTGCTGCACCGCCTTGCCCTGCTCGATCCCTTCCTTCGAGAACGCCAGTGGGGGTGCTCAATGTGAGGGTGCGTCTTTAGCCCTCCGTCATACTCGGCGGCGCGCCGAGGGGGGCAATAAGGCCCGTGGCCTTCTGAGGAGCGTCTTGAGCCTTCTCCGAGGCCACAGGAGCTTTCTAAGAAGGCCAGGGGGCTTCTGAGAAGTCCTGTCATCTTCGGAGAAGACCTGCCCTCGCTCACTTGCCCCCTCGGGGCGCTGCCGGGACGGGGGGAGATGGGCGCAGGGGGGAAGTGTCGACTTGGAATCGGTGATGCATCACAGACACATCGGCGATAGACCCTTGGTCGCGAGACCGCGACAAACGGGGGACACATCGTCGATAGGTCCTGGATCGCGAGACCGCGACAAACTATGGGCCACATCGGCGATAGGCTCTCGATCCGAGACCCCCATCGGCGCGCCTCCGACTGAGTGGCCCACATTGGGGGGGGCCCCCAGTGTGGCCCGCCGTCCGCGCCGGCGTGGGGGGCCTGCTCGGAGCGCAGGCGCTGAGCTCCTCGCGGCTGCGCTGGGGCGACCGCGGGCGCGCCGCGCCGGGCTGCTACGCGGCGGTGGCGCTGCTCACCGTCGCGGGGCACTCAGGGGCGGTCTGACTGGCCCTTGCAAACCTCACGTGGCCCCGAAAGGGACCCCAGGGAAAGGGACTTCTGAGACGGGCGATGCCGATTTCTCGAGTCCGTTCGGCTTCGCCCTCAAGGTCGCTGCACGACGCTTTCGCTCGCACTTTTCGAGGTCTCAGATGCAACGCCGCGGTCTCAGAAGTCCCTGTCGCTGGCGTCCCTTCAGGAATCGTGTCAAAACCATACCCTTCTGTGACGTCCCCCTCGCCTCACCCCAAGACGCTCCAACGCGGCCGGAGAGAAGCCTGGAAGGCGAGGATGGCGTCACGGAAGGTGCTGGTCGCGGTAGGAGTCGATCAGGCCGCGCCCGAGGTACGCGCTGGCCTTGCCCGGCACGCCAGCCCGGCGGTCGGTTCGGCCGCCCTTTGCAGCGCATCGGCGCCGCCTCGGCTCGGTTTGTTTTTCGTTCGTTTATTGTGCGAGCAAGCCTGGCAGGCCGTCGCCCAGATTTCGGCCCCCACCATGGGTTTTCGGTGGCGGTGGTCTCTGTTTCTCTTCTTGGGTTCGGCTCCGTCAACGGCACGCAGCCTGTGCCAGCCTCAATCACGCCGCCTGCGTCGTGCTGGGGGGCTTCGCTAGACAAGCACAGGGTTGCGCCAACACTCCCTGGAGATCCTCGAAAAAGGGCGAAAAGCGCACAGACAAATGAGCGCACCAGAAGCTCGACCTAGACCCCAGATGTCTTGATTTGTTCAATAAGGGGCTCCCTGAAATCCCGACCCTTTCCCCAGGGCTGGCGTCTCATCCGGAGCATGTCTGTTGGCCCCCCCCTCTCCAAGGATCCTGACGAGGCGTTGATGCCGGAAAGCATCCCAAAGCGAACAACAAGAAACGTAAGCACCGACGAACGCATCTGAGCATCGCCGCTCAATTCGTTGGAGGTCGGGGTCCTCGAACCGCGAGCTTCGAGCTTCGATCCGGCTTGCACCGACCGCGGCGCCCGACGGGTTGTTGACCGACGCTGCCCACATCCTGAGCCTCGGGGTGGGCGCCGCGACCTGGCCGCTGGCGTCGCGGGTGTGCTGCCCGGTACGCTTCGCCGCCCGCGCCGCGGCGGCGCCCGGGGCGCAGGGGCTGCCGCTGTTGTGAGCCTCGGGAGCGAAAAGAAAGACGTACGCACCAGACGCTGAAGTAGGTATTTCTGTATAACTCCAATCTCTATTCTTCTACGCCGATGCAAATATCATAGGTATGACTACATGTGTATATACATATCTGTATCACGTTCAAATATAATTGTATCTATGTTCCTGGGTTACCAGGCCCGCGCCCCCTCCCCATGAGATGGGTCCCAGGGCCCCGCGGGATCCCCCACCAGATGGGACGGGAGGGGGACGACGACGACGACGACGACGACGACGACGAGGGTTCAGCGCACGCGGCACGAGTTCCGAAAAGTAGACCCCGACGAGGGTTCCACAGCAGCACCGCCCCACATCCACAGGGTGTGGGACCCATCGGGGGGGACCGTACTTCAAATGTCTAGCGGCTCTCCTCTTCCACTCCTCTTCAGGGAGGCGTGCGGAGACTTGGTCTGCTTTGAATGCCTTCCTACTTAATTTTTCTATCACCTTTCTTCTGACCGATGGGTACGTGTACCTGAACTTTCGTTGGTTCCGAGATCATGCGTTGCGCGAACGTTCGTAACACGAGGCTGCCCTCGCGCTACAGGGCCGCGGCCTGCGGCCAAAATGACGGCAGGCAGTGCGATGTCCCTGCACTCGGTGGAGGCCCGACGTACATGCAGGTCGCTGCGGGCAGCTGCCACGTTCTGCTGGAGACATCAGGGCTCGACATCCACGGTGTTTTAACGATTTCGTGGACCGGTTTCGGTTTGTAGTCGTTTTGCGGCGAAGGCGGAACGAAGGGAAACAAAACGGAAACGGAAAACATTGTTTCGGTCGAGCTTTGTGAGGCATTTGTTGCATTCCCCAGCGGTAACGGGCGTGACCAAGGGGGGCCCGGTCACGTCATGAGTCGCGCCCTGCGTTGCTTGGGAATGCCTGTAGGGGAAAGCCCATTCCCAGGCGGCGCCCGCGCGGGAGGAGGAGGAGGAGGAGGAGGAGGAGGAGGAGGAGGAGGAGGAGGAGGAGGACCAGGGGAGGGCGGGGGGGGGGAACTGGTCGGGGCGGGCTTGTCACGGGCATTCTCGCGAGTCCGCGGAGGAGCGACGGGGCAGCCGTGGCTTGCGGCCAGGATGGCGGCGGGCAGGCGCGGCCTGCCCCCCCCTGCGAGCCAGGTGGCCCGACGGGCTGCCCCCCTTGGCGGCTCTCTCCTGCCTCGGGCGCACGGCGCGCGCCGGGCGGCCGAGTGCGTTGCCGAAGGCAGACCCGGCAGGCGGTCTCCTCGGCGGCCAGCGAGGGGGAGAGGCATCGGCGTCACCCCGACCTCGCAATACTTACCAGGCTGGAACATATCCCTATCCCTATGCTGGGCATCTCCTCATCACGATGCCAATCTTAGGGATTCCCTTATTTTTTGAGGGTGGATCCCTAAGATTGTCATCGCCTTTCGGCGTGTCAATCTTGGGGATAGGGATACGTTCGAGGCTGGTAAAATACTACATGTGCGTCGCCCCCCCAGGGGAGACGCGCGCCCCGAAAACTCTTGAAGTGTGTGCGTCTTGGCGGGCGCTCTCTGGCCACCCCGCTCGGGAAACAGCATACTGCAGAGACGGGTACACTAGAAGTTCGGGTCGGACGCGCGCCTCCAAGTAGGACATATCGGAGGTTGGGGGGTGAGATCGCAGTGGAACGGAGACCCCAAACCGGGAAATCGTTTCGTTTCGTTCGTGTCGTGCGTGCAGGCGAGGCAAAGTTGCGTGGGCGCGCGAGAGGAATGAACCCGCCGTTGCTAGGGCGGAGTCAAGACAAATGATTCTCCCCATCCCGCCCGCTCGTCCAGCGGTTGCTCGCGGTGTCCCGCAGTGTCCCGCGGTGTCCCGCGGTGTCCCGTGGTGTCCCGTGGTGTCCCGTGATGCCCGCCGTAGGGCGAAGTCGAGACAAATGATTCCCCCCCCCTCCCGCCCGTCTGGCAGTAGCTCGCAGTGTCCCGTGGTGTCCCGTGGTGTCCGCCGTTGCTAAGACGCAGTCAAGACAAATGATTCTCCCCCGCCCGCCCGTCCGTCCGTCCGGCGGTGGCTCGCGGTGTCCCGCGGTATCCCGTGGTGTCCCGTTGAGTGAAATCGATACTGAGATCGATACTGAGATCGATGCGGTGCCCCGTGGTGTCCCAAAAAGTGAGACCGATAGTGAGATCGATAGTGAGATCGACAGGTGTCCCGTGGTGTCCCGTGGTGTCCCGTTGAGTGAGATCGAGGGAGATCGATACTGAGATCGATACTGAGATCGATGTGGTGCCCCGAGGTGTCCCGTGGTGTCCTGTTGAGTGAGATCGATAGTGAGATCGATAGTGAGATCGACAGGTGTCCGTGGTGTCCCGTGGTGTCCCGTGGTGTCCTGTTGATTGAGATCGATAGTCAGTTCGATAGTGAGATCGATGTGGTGTCCCGTGGTGTCGCGTTGAGTGAAATCGATAGTGAGACCGATAGTGAGATCGAGAGGTGTCCCGCGGTGTCCCGTGGTGGCCCGTAATGTCCCGTGGTGTCCCGTTGAGTGAGATCGATGGTGAGATCGATGGTGAGATTGACAAGTGTCCCGTAGTGTCCCGTGGTCTCCCGTGGTGTCCCGTGGTGTCCCGTTGAGTGAGATCGATAGTGAGATCGATTGAGTCAGATGTTGGTTCCCCCCCTCTCCCCCCCCACAACCTCCTGATCATCCGAAGGGTGGTCGTATAGGTGGTATTAGTGTGTCTCTGTGCGCCCCAAAGTAAGACGGGGGTGGCCTTCTCAGAAGGCGGCGGGGCTTCTCAGAAGCCCTCCGACCTCCTGCGAAGTGTTCTGTGTCTTCGGGGAAGGCTCAGCAAATTTCTCGGAAGGCCCGGGGACACTGAGACTTTGAGAAGTTTCGCCCCTTTTGATTTTCCCCCGGGCTGGTCGTTGATCTCTGGCGTGCCGTTGGCGCAGTCCGTGACTGGGCGGGGAGGCGCTCGACCGAAAGCAGGCGGCGCCCGACGGACGTTCGCGCCCGATGGTTGGCCCGTCGCTTGTCGCGCACGCTGGGCTCCACGACCTTCGACTGTTCAGGGGTGTGGACCTGAGGGATGGGGTCCTGAGGGCTGGGAAACGATCACAAGCTGAAACATCACTGTTCTTCGGATGCGCCTCATTGGAGGATCAATTCAGCATCGGCGCTGGTGTATTGTCCATGACCGAAAACCAGTCTAATCTGGCCTACTTTCGTTTAATCTCGCCTGGTCTGGTTTGGCTTAACCAGGCTTAATGTCCCGGATATTGCTTTGAGGGAGTTGATAGGTTTGACAGAAGAAGCTTTCATATTGGGCTGGGCCAGCTTCCTCTCCACGGCTGTCGGTCAGGCATCCGCGCAGCGCGTTGCTTTTGCCCTTAGCTTGTCCTGGTCACGCTTTCCTATTCGGTGCCAATGCCACGCGGCGAAATCCGAACCCTACCCCCGCCTCCCATAGATTCAGGAGAATCGATGGTTGGCGGGGGTAGGTTTCGCAGCTTCTGCCAGGCTCGTGCGCAGCGACTAGGCGGCTCCTGGGCAATGCTTCTCAGGCTCGTGGGCAGCGCTTCCAGGGCTTGTGGGCACCGCCCGGGTCGCTCCGAGGCAGCGCTTCCGAGGCTCGCGGGCAGCGCCTTGGCAGCTCTCAGGACGCGCTTGCCGTGCTCGTGAGAGGCGCCTAGCTCCGAGGCAGCGCTTCCGAGGCTCGCGGGCGGCGCCCAGGCAGCTCCCGGGCAGCGTTTGTTGGGCCCGTGGGGCGCGCCCAGGCAGCTCCCAGCTTCTGGGCTTGTGGGCGGCTTCGCGCTACTCGGGCTGTGGATGACACACGTCCTGGGCTTGCGCAATCTGGTGTGAGCAAACCTCGCAGAGCTGGACTCCTGACTTTTCGAGGCCTCTCGCTCTGAGGGCCCCATCTCTCGGGGCCCCCCTCGGCGAACCGCAGAGACCTGCGCGGCCGACGCTGTCCTGCCGGGGGGCGAGCTGCTGAGTCGGATCGACGCTGGGCGAACATGCGCAGGCGACGTCGGGTTGACCAGTCGACGGGGCCAGGCAGCAGAAACACACGTTCGTGTCCCTAGTATGGTTGCTACCCCTCCTGATCCTCCTCGCCGTCATGATCGTTGTCGTCACCGTGTTACTCCTCGCCTTTCTCCCTCGCCTTTCTCCTCCTCCTCCTCCTCCTCCTCCTCCTCCTCCTCATCATCATCATCATCATCATCATCATCACCCTCGTATAGCTTCTCGTGTTCGTCGTGATCGTCGTCGAGGTCGTGGTCGTCGTCGAGGTTGTCGTTGTCGCCACCGCCGTCGCCGTCGCCGCCGCCGCCGTCATCGTCGTCGTTGCCGTCGTCATCATCAGTATGCGACCGCTTCCAGAGTGGGAAACTATGGAGCAGGAGGAGGAGGAGAAGGAGGAGGAGGAAGAACCGCATGAGGAGGATGAACACCAGCAGGAGCAACAGGACGGGAGGAATCTTATTCAGACAATGAGGAGGAGGAGGTTGTCAAGCTAGTACGCGAACAAACTCACGAGTGAAGACAGCTCGAGAGAAAGCAGGACGTAGTGTCTCGGATTCACCTTCTTCGAGGCTGGTCCACGTCCAAACCGAATCCCTCCTGCCTCCGAGTGCATCCTTCCTCTCTCCTACATTATCCTTCCCTTTCTCCTTTTACCTCCTCCCCCCCGCCATGCGTGTTCCCCTCGCGCCGATGTGCTTGGTGTGTTGCGACTTCTGCTGTCGCCACTCTGCGCATTCCTTTATATAACTTCCTCCTGCTGCCTCCTTCCTCCCTCACTCCCGCCTCTTGCTTCCTGCTTCCCCCGCCCCCCCCCGCCCTCTCAGAACGTGTGTGTGTACTTAGATCCTGGCAAGTTTACTTGCACGGGACTCCCTCCCCCCCCGCCTCCGCCACTTCAAACTTTGCTGGGCCGTCTTGGCGTGCCAGTGAGTCCCGAACTGCGCGAAGCCCAGCTTTCTCCGCTCGGGCCTCGCCGCACCCCCGACCCAGGCAGGCCAACCTGCCAGGGCCTGCA